ATTTCCAGTATTTCAGTGGGTATCAAGCAATAAGAAGACAAAAATTAATAGCTGAGAAGTCAAAACGATAACTGTCTGTTTCAAAATAACCGAAATAATCAGTGTTCTGGGGCCACTGACAGAAATTTTTTCACTGGCATGACATTCAACTTCCTTTGGGAAAAAACCAGTATGGAAGCTTATCCTTGAGTTCTGGGGGACGGGGAAGACCCAACAGCCTGGAAGCTGACTGGATTTGATCCAAAGATATAATGTACAACTTCTCAGTCACACTCAGGTTACATAATATGCCCCAATTTTCTATTCTTACCTAAAAGCACGTCCAAAGCCCCTAGTTTTCATTTGCTGGCTTGCCTTTAATAAAATAATTTTGAAAGGAAAGTATATGACTAAAAAAATATCAGTGCTGATGCATTTTTATTTTCCTAGAAGCTGGCCCAAAATATTACATAATAAATACCTTGGGTTAGTGACTGGACTTTGTTTTCCCTTCTGTGAAAAGGCTTTTTCCGTATCTAAATATGTAAATGAGAATACCACAGTATTCTCAACTAATTTTGAGAAAAACCAAATCTTGGCTTACCTTAGGAACAAACAAGACGTGAGGCCGGAGTCAAGTCTATGATAAAGGCTGAGTGAAATGAGAGGCCAGGCCACATTTACAACTCTGAAGCCCTGTTTGCTCACGGGGTCTGACTCTTGAGGCTAACGGTGGCCTCACTGTGGCTGCAGTGACGGGCGGTTCTAAGAAGGAAGGTGTGAGGCTACGGCAGCTCACGAGTCAGGAGATGGCAGTCAGTGTGCTATAGCAATATACCGTGTCTCCTCTGTAGCAAGAGAAAATAAAGAAGTGTAAAAAGAAGAACAAAACTGAGGTAAGATAAGGGGGAAAAGAAGAAGAGGACAGAGAGGAGGGGAGGACAAAGAAAGGAGAAGATCAATCAGGCAAAATTTGTTAGTGAAAAACGATTATTTTCTTAAGCAAGGAGGGTCAACAAACTTTTTCTGAAAGGTCCAGACGGTAAATCCTTTAGGCTTTGCAGGCCCTTGGTCTCTGCTATAAATATGATACTCTGCTGGAAAGCTGCCAAGGAAAATACACGAACAAATGGGCATGGCTATGTTCCAATAAACTTTTATTTACAAAAGAGTGACCAGCCCATATTCTGCAGACCCTTGATCCTCTGTAAGCCAAATGACAGTTTGTGCGGGCTGACAGAAAACCAATAGGAACGGGTGTGGCTCCCCGGCCTAGCACCCGGGGAAATTCCAATACAGTCCCTGGTGTGGTGACAAGCCACCAACCTTGCTCATGGTGGTACTTACAGAATCTCCGACCTGCATCATGTAGCATTGCTGTCTTTCCCACTTAGCTCTCGGGTCCTTCAATCAGCAGGAATGCTGCCCACAGAGGGGGGGGGGGGGGGGGGGGGGGGTGACAGCTTCAGCCCTCACCACGAATCCACCACAAGGCAGGAAAGAGACCAAACCTCAGTTCAAAGCAAGTCTTGAAGTGATGTGTTTCACTGATGTCCTATCTGAACAGCGTGTGATGCACAGAGGAGCCCCTCAGAAGCAGCACCTATGAAGAGACGAGGACCTGCACCTCTCCTAGCCGCACTACTGCAAGGATGAAAGAAACCCACAGTCCAAGATTACTGTTTTTAGATAAGGCTTGTGTAAAAATCTTTAATGAAGTACAGATGCAACAGAATTAACCTAAGGGATCCAAGGGACTAGCAACTGCAGATGAACACACACCAGTGACATTCCAATGCGGGAAGCCTTAAGAGCAGACTAAACGTTCATTGCCTTCCTGCTGTGCTGCAAGATTGCTATGAGGGAGGCTCTGGACCCTGACTGGGGAGCAGTTTCCATGTTGTCCTCCCAAACCCAGGGAGCCTGAAGGGTTAGAAAATGGGGGACAGAAAATGGGTCTCCTGAAGAGGGCCCAGCTCTGGGGAGCTATGATAGAGCTTCAGTCATTGCTCCGCAGGCATCCTGCAGCTCTCCCAGAAGCTCAGAGGTAATACCGGCGTTCTCAGGTCATCAACTTCAGCTCCAACACTGGGACAGTCAGAGTATAGGCCCAGGGGCAGAGTTTTCTTTTTTCTTCATTTGGAATCTGGAATGTGGGACAGATTGCCTTTGCATCTGGTGGCAAGCCATACTGTGAAGATGGCTAGAAAAAGGAGGTCTTTGTGAGACAGGGGAAACAAGGGGGAACTTGAGTCAATTCTAAGTCTGGCTTGGAGGTGTCTAGGAGACAGGTTTGCCAGCATCGGCTGTAAGAGTAAAAGGGTGTTCCAGAGGCAGCCCTCAAGTTTGTTTGTTTGTTTTCCTTTCTTCTATTAGCAAAATTAACTGAATCAGCAAAAATGAGATTCAACAAATATAAAAATAATCCTAAGCTTTTAAGTGTTCTAATTATGTAGAATCCCAGTCTATTTAAATGCAGTTACTACTATAAAGTGTAAGTTGATTTTAAAGATGAGCCACTGCAGTGTATAAAAAAAGGCATACACATGCATACCTTTCGCCAAATGCTGCCTAAGACGGGAGAAAAGGCTATTATCTTGAAGTAAGCTTTTTAAAATGAAAAAGCACTTAGAAAAGTAATGGAATGGATGACAGACCCGAAACTGGAAGAGTTCCACCCACTCACACTGCCTCACACCTCTCCCTAAGTTAATCCAAGCACCGCTACAATGCAGTCTACGTGCAGCTAAGGGGGGCACCTTGAGTATACGCACAGGAGTCCACACATGTCACATTGGCAGACCTCAGCTGGTTAAGTCACCACAAAAACAGTATCCAGTGACGACTATATGAAAAAAATTTTTTTTAACTTTAAAACCACTTTTAAAAGATTAACCAAACCTACTCAAAAACATACTAATGCTTCTGTGCAACTTAATGCTGAGAAAGGGCTGCCAACATACACACTCAGCAGTTTCATTAATATAGGTAGCTCTTGAATGGCCAAAGTCAAAGATATTAAAAAGAAAAAAAGAGACTCATGGGATAGGAGACATTGGAAAAAAAAAAAAAGTCAAGGCTTCACTGAAGATAGTAAGCTTCCCTACCTATGAAATTCAATGCAATTTTCAATTTCCCATGAATCACATGCTTTTCTCCAGTCCTATCCAGTCATCAGAAGTTTCCATTATATACAGCAAGCTTTTCACAGAATGGGTAGAAGGCCTGTTTTATCATGATTTGGCTGAACTATACATGAAAAAAGTCCACCCGGGTTTACCTAAACAGATCTGAACAATCTAAATGGAAAACTTTTTAGTAAAACAGACAGGGTGGCACCTGTCCACACAAGCCTACTTCTGTGACGGAGCATGTTAGAGAAGTTGGCTGAAGCTTTAACAACCAAGCCTTTTTTGTAGAGTGGCCCAGTGGAAATGTGGAAGTCACACTGTGTTATAATGGAGCAATGTTACAGGCATCAAGGGAAAGCCCATGCAACCACCTCAGGCGTCACTCAGGAAAGGCAAACAACATTAGTTAAAACACCGCAGCTCTCAATTCTGAGCCATGGAATAGAGCCTGATGTGATAGAGGCGGGAGTGATACCACAAGCATTAACTACCAGTATGGCACTAACCAATTAGAATGCTAACACCCACTCTAACCATGTACGTTCACACTGGAGCACACCAGCTGAACGTCAGCTCCAGGTGGGGGGAGCGCTGCAGGCCCACTATGAGATGGGGCTGCTTCCTCCAACAGCAAAGTTGCTCTGAACTTTACATAACTCTGTGCTGTTTAGACCTTTCTGAGCCTCATGCCAAACTGGTTTTGGGGATACTCACAGAGACCCTGGGCCACATTTAAACCATCTGGCCTGTGCTAATTACCCAGCTCATGAACAAACGCCCTAGCACACTGCATGGTGACAAAGAATCTTACTGCAGAACCGGGGCTGGGAGACATCTGTGGCTAATAACCACAGGCAAATGCACATGCACAAACTCTTAAACTTTTCTATTACTGGAAATAACAACCTGGCTTTCTTTGAATATGGAAGTATTCGGGGTAAGAAAGAATATTAGAACAGTCACTCTTATCCTAATTGTCAAGTTACAGTTACAAGATGAAAAAAAAAAAAAAGCCTACATTTTTTCCCCCAAAGTCAGAAGAAAACCTCGTTAGAGTGCTAGCAAGCTTGCAAGGCCAAAAATGAAAAGGATGGCAAGAATCAGTAATGCAAATCACTTGGGGGATGTAAATAATTTTTAGAGGTCATAACCCAATATTAACACCATGTGACACATCTTCTGTCCCATGGGCACATAATTTAGAACACATTTTTTCAAATGACAAAGGATCAAAAGTGAGAGGAGTGACCAATAATGAACAGAATATGAATTTTTAAAAAGGGGTAACAGAAATATTCATCTTTCATAATAATAATAATTTCCCTCTGCATTCTCTACATACCATAAAAGTGATTTGGTTTAGCTTTCGAGAATCATTGAAACAAACAAACAAGACAGAGAGGGAAGTTCACTGCTAGGGTTTGCAAAGAGGAGTGTCTGTTCAGGTACAGACACTGCAGGGTGGCTGCTGAAAAGCTACTTTTATGTGCATGATGGTGGTCTTCTCGGCTACAGTACAAGTGCTTGTGCATCAAGTATAAAATACAAGCCTTTAATCACATAGATCAGCTTTTTAGCTTTTGTAAATTTAAAAACAAAAAGGATAAATAAGGCACTGTACTTTTAAAAACTAAAACTGCTTGGTTCCAAGTTTAAAACCCAAGGAACAACCAGAATATAATATATAACTTCCCTTACTCAGCCTCAGAGAAAGACTCTGCAAGTTCCCTTCTCCATCTGAGATGCATTTTTCTGACATCTTAAATTGTGATGTTCTCCATTAACTGCAGATTTGAAAGGCTGGATAAGCTTATAAAAGCAGGTTTAGTTAATGCAAAACGAAGGGTTACTTCTGTAGGACAGTTTAACTCTCGGCTACCAGCCTGGCGATCACTTTGCGTCCAGCCGTCTCCGTTTGCCATGGGAAGAGTCCAGCTTTGCCTTCAGCTTTCGCTTTCTCTGGGCCGCACTGCTCTCTGGGGTTTTTGTCAAGGGTCTGGCCCGAGCCTTTCCACTGCTTTGCTTCCTGTTGGTGGCTTTCTGTGGCCTTGAAGAGGATTCCCCTGCCCCCTTTTGCTTTGCAGGTTTCGTCACTGTGTCTGAGGCGGCTGGCTGAGCGGGTCTTTTGTTTGTATTTTCTTTTTCCCTCCTGGAGGGAGGGCAGTTCTTCCCAGGGGACTTTTTGGGGATCTTCACTTTATTCTCTTTCAAGGATGTCTTTTTGGGCAGTTGGCTGATTCTGTCCCTTGCAGCTGGCTTCTTGGCAGCAGGGGTTTTGGTGGATCCATCACTATGCTTTTCTTTGCTGGCTTTGACCGCAGGTCCCTTGTCCTTCCTGTCCTGAGCGGTGCCACTTTCTGTCCTCTTGCGTTTATTCTGCACTTCGGCTTTCGGCAAGATTTCAGACATCTGCTTCCCCTTCCTTCCCTTCATTCCATCAGTACTCTTGGGCTTAATGGGAAACCCATCTGCATCCACTTGCAGGGCAAGCTTGGGGGACATCAGAGGGTTGATGCATACACTCTTACAACTCTGTTTACTCTCCACAGCCTGTCCAAATGGGCTCTCCATTTTCTCGTTCTTGATCAAACATTGCTGGGCTCTGAGCTTTCCTCGAATATTGGAGTATTTTCTGAGGATCCGAGTACTGGCTGGGGTAGGTGAATTTGTGGGAGGATGGCTATTTCTACCTTCCTTGACTTCCTCTACAGTGTCTTCAGAATTGGGGCTGAGGCTGACATCACTGCCATCCTCTGGCTCCACTTGGTCAGGATTCTCTCGAAACTTAGCCCAGAGCTTCTGTGTTTTCCAATTGTTTCTAGCAGGAGTAGCTCCAGGAAATTTCTTCAAGTGTTTTTTCAAGCGTTCAGCCTGTAGTGAACTGGGGTACAGGCTGGAAGGAGAGTATTTCTGAAGAGGATGCTTGACAGGGGGGATGTCTCCTGGAAGACGAGTGTTGAGCTTCTTCACGATAACCAGAGACCGGGTTTCAGTTGTCTCTAAGAACCATTTGCAAACATTAGATAACTTAAAGTTTGTCATAAACAGCATCTGAACAGGAGAAAACTTTTGAACCTCCAACGAACCCCTACATTTCCGTGACCTTTTTTTGCTTTTCCAAATCTCCTTTAGTTTATCTGACTTGTTCCTTGATCTTGGCGTTGGCTGGGCTTCCTTTTCCAACTGGATCCAACCTTTCTGGACTCTCATGTACTGGGCATTGAAGCTGGCAATAAGCTCTTGGTTCTCTTCCTCTGCACACCATTCCACAAACTTTGGCTGGTCATCTACCACTGCGTCCACATCATCCTCATGTAAGGGATCTCCACTCTCGGAAGCTTCCTTTTCCTTTGGCATTGGGTTTCCCTGTGTTGCTTCCTTTTCTGAAGTCACTTTTGCAGTGTCCAAGGAGTCCAGAGAATGAGTATGTCTTAGGTTGTAAGTTGAAGAGGTCAGTCTTGTAAGCCTCGGGACGCACTGTGGGGGCCCGGCCGCATCACCACTTCCACTATTTGACAAGCCACATGCACTGGATGGCACATCACTCTGGTCACCTTTATGCTGGGTGTTTGCACTGCCAACCTCATTCACAACCTCCTCCGTATCGTGTGCAGGAATTGGTTCTGGCTTCTCTTTTGATTGTTCTGGGAAAGTACGTGGAATATTTTCTGAGGGAGCACGAGCATTTTTCTCACCTAACTTAGACTGAACATAGATTTCCAGTCTTTCTCCAGGCAAGGTCTGGCCTACTGTGGTTATGGGATCACCACGGGGGAAAATACCTCCTTCTTCCCCTTTGACCTCTTTAGCCAGCATGTTTTTAAAAGTCTGCCTGGTGATGATCCCACCTTCTTTGCCCTCCTGTTCGGCATCTTTCTCAGAGGGCTTTTCATGGACCTCTGGGTTTTCAGTGTCCTCCAAAGCTTTTGTATGGAAACCATCAGCCAGAAGACTCTCAGGTGTTGTCTCACCAGGGCACGCTTCCTTTTTAGAACGTTTCATAACAGGATTTTTGGAAACCTTGATCTCAGGACTAGCAGAGGAAGAATCTGAACTTTGACTTCTTAGGCACCTATCAGCAGAAGAGGGATCAGAAAGCTGACTTCTTAGGCACCTGTCAGAGGCCTCAGGGAGTTTTTTAACTTTTTTCTTCTTGTCCAGATTCTCTTCGGGTGAGTCAATGTTTTGATCACACATATCTCTTTCTGAAGAATGTTTTACGTTACTGCCCTGTCCCTCTAATTTTCCTGTACCACCTGCTGTCTCACTTTCCTCAATTTCGTTGGGGTTTTCATTAGTAAAAGTGCTGCTTTCCTTCAAGAGTGGGTCAGTATCTAGCTCCTGAGTGTCTTCAGTCTCAGCCTCAGTACTGATGCTTTGGTTGTCTTCAGCTTTTCCCAGGCTCAGAGGAGGCTCCAAGCCCACTGGAGGACTCTGACTTTCTGAGCAAGGAGGACCTTCCTCTCTATGGACTGTTTCAGGAGAAGAATGAGGTCCGGAAACAACATCTTCATTGCCTCCCTCAGAAGTGCTCTCAATAGAGGAAACCAGGTGACAGTCTTGGGTGACAGTCCCCTCCTTGATTTCCAGCAGTTCGACTGGCTGCTGGTCTCGTTCAGGGGAAGCTATCCCACTTGCTGTGGGAGTTGAGACCATGGAGCTGCCTTCTGGCGTGTCCTCTTTGGGAAGGTGAACAGGGAGAGGTGACACCAGGCTGGAGGCTGTTGTTTCCTTTGACCTAGGAGAGCTGCTCGGATTTGGTTTATTTGTCACGGGGCAAACCTCAGGCTCTTGAGATTCCTTTTCTGAGGAAGCATCTCTGTCTCCTTCCTTAAGGGAGATGATTTCTTTACTAGGTTCTTCGTGGTCATCGTCTCTGGGATGCTGCACATCCACGGCGGGTCCAGGGGCTGAAAGTGTAAGGGTCTGCTTGGGAGTGACCACTGCCTCCGGCTCCAGGGTTGAACAGCTCGCTTTTTCTTGGGAGTGTAAATTTCTGGCCAGTGTGCGAACAGTTGGCAGCTCACAACAATCACCATTGAAAAAGTATCCCCGAGTACTCTTTCTGGCTGTTTTCCGAGAGGATAATATTGATCTTTGATTCTCAAAGTGGCATTCTGTTATTGGCTGACTAATATAAACGACATCACACTGGTTATCATAATCGTTTATCCTCAACCCTGATGCCCTTTTACTTTTCCGAGCTGTCTTAATGGAGGTTGAGATCATCTTGGTTCGTGAATGTCCATTAGATGCTTTGTGTACAGCTGGCATAGGGCTGGGGGCTAACCAACCATCTTTGGAATGATCAAACTGGCCCTTATCACTGGGATGTAAATGATAACTCACCTTATTTCTTCCTAGTGAGTGAAGATGGTTCTCTTGCTTTGGCCTTGAATCTTGTTCACTGGACTCTAACTCCTGGCGCAAAGGTGTTTTTGAGCTACACAGTAAAGCGTTCTCTTTGTCAGCAGTTCTAGGTGAATTCCCCGTAAACCCTGAGTCCCAAGCCTCTTCTGATAAAGCTTTGAATGAATTTCTCTGAGAAATAATACAGCTGTTGCTCTCCTCACTATTCTCAGCTGCCCCTTTTACTGCAATTAGACTTTCTACTAAAGCTGAGCTCTGCATATGGTCTTTACCATCCTCGCGAATTTTCACATTTGTGTCTTGCTCCTGTCCAGTGGTTTGCCCCTCCAAGCTCTTAGAGATGTGGTGGAAGTTTAATGAGGAAGAATTAGATGCAGTGAGGTATCCCAGAGTGGAACTATCCATTGAACTACCAGAATTAGGTTTAGTGGTTGGAAGTTCAGAGGAAACTTTCTGGGTAACAGCCAAGGCATTCTCTCTCCCATCTACAGACTTTATCTCAGGAGGAGGCTCCTTCAGGGCCTGTTCTGTCACGCGTAGAGGGCTGTGAGAGTCCGATGAGTCTACAAACAAATCTACAGAAGTAGGAGACTTCCTATCGAGACACACAGCATCCTTTTCCTTATGTTTGGTGCCTAGTTGGGCACAGCCGGCACTGCAAGTGGATGCGTCCATTGCTCCAGAATCAGGGTGCAGGTCCTCGGGGCCTGGCTGGGATTCAGTGTACAGATCGTTCAGAACACGAATGAACTGCTTCTGATGATGAGTGCACAGTTTGACCATAAACTTCTCCAGCGGGGACTTCGACTGATTGTTAGAATCTACTGCTAGAGCCTCTGTTGAATTCTCACTAGACAGACAAAGAGAAAGAAGAAATTAGTATGGTCATTCTCCAAAGAAAATTTTTACCCTATGAAATTCACCAGACGTTACTCATGTTGTAAAGAGAATGGACACTCTAAAACTGCTTCTAAGTGCCCAGGTAAATTTGATTCCATAAATGAGGGGTATTTACCTGATTAAAATATAAGGCTAGCCCTGTTATATTCTCAAATTTCAGTAACATCCTTCATACCTTTTAAGAGATCCTTCACAGTTATTTTTATCTTATAGAGAAGAAATATCATTGAAAATAATTTTTTGGAAAATAAAATTTTGGCTACATTAACTCCAGTTGGTCAACATATACTTTTGTTTTAGACCTGGGTATTTCTGTTAAATAATCATTGATTTGTAAGCCCACAACACTGACAAAAACTCAGACGCACTATATTGCAAACCTTAGTTTGGAAATATTTAGGGAAATTATAGTTTTAACATGGTTTCTCAGCATGACTAATTGGTTGGACTTCTAATTCTGCAAACAGTAATACAGGAACACTTCTGCTCCCTTCCTGGGGCAATGAGAAATAGAGATCAATAATTTCATAATTCAAATACACTGAAAGATGCAATTATAAGCAGCCTACGCTGACCTCCTACCTTCCTCACGCCCCTCTGGCCTCTGAAGCAGTGTGCTTTTAATGGAAAGAGCACAGATTGTGGAATATGATAAACTCACATTCTACTTCTAGCTCTGACATTTACTATCTATAGGCTCTTAGGTAAATTACTTAACCTCTCTGAACCTTGGTTTCCTCATCTGGAGTTGGAACTCAGTATTGATATTTCAAAGGATTGTTGTGAGATGTCAGAAAGCACACACAAAGCACAAAGCACAAAAGAACAGACGCTCCCCCTTTCTTGACTCAGGGAGATATTTAAGACCAGGTGGTAAAAAGCTGCTGAAACATGTCTAATTACAAAACAAAACAAAACCAAACTATCGGTCAAATCTGTTGTTTAAACTACTCTTCATGAAGGAAGATTCCACTATGTTTTTATTTTCACAACTAGCAAGACAGCAGTTTTAGTCAGCGGTGCCATGGGTATCTGAAAGGACCTACATGAGACTACAGAATGTAGTCTTCTACATGTCTTAGCAGATGCCTACTTTAAATTTGAAATTGGTCACTGAATTGTGAATAAACCAAGAAAAAAAGATTCTTTCATGCAAACTACATATCAGATAAAGGGATAGTATCCAAAATCTATAAAGAACTTATCAAACTCAACACCCAAAAAACAAATAATCCAGTGAAGAAATGGGCAAAAGACATGATAGACACTTCTCCAAAGAAGACACCCAGATGGCCAACCAACACATGAAAAAATGCTCAACATCACTCATCATCAGGGAAATACAAATCAAAACCACAATGAGACACCACCTTATACCTGTCAGAATAGCTAATGTGAACAACTCAGGCAACAACAGGTGTTGGCAAGGAAAGAGGAAAGAGGATCTCTTTTGCACTGCTGGCGGGAATGCAAACTGGTGCAGCCACTCTAGAATACAATATGGATACAAAAAAATTAAAAATAGAACTACCCTAGACCCGCAACTGCACTACTATGTATCTATCCAAGGGATACAGGTATGCTCTTTCGAAGGGGCACATGCACCCCAATGTTTATAGAAGCACTATCAACAATAGCCAAAGTATGGTATGGAAAGAGCCCAAATGTCCACTGATGGATGAATGGATAAAGAAGATGTGGTGTGTGTGTGTGTGTGTGTGTGTGTGTGTATACACACATACATACATATACAGACACACACATACATACATACAATGGAGTATTACTTTAAGCGTAATCAAAAGAATGAAATCATACACATTTGTAACCACGCAGTGCATGGAACTTAGAGGGTCTTATGCTGTTTAAATTAGTCAGAGAAAAGACAATAAATATCATATGACTTTCACTCATAAGAGGACTTTAAGAGACAAAACAGATAAACATAAGGGAAGGGAAACAAAAATCATATAAAAACAGGGAGGGGGACAAAACATAAGAGATTCATAAATATGGAGAACAAACAGGCTTACTGGAGGGGTTTGGGGGGGGGTGGGCTAAATGAGTAAGGGGGCATTAAGGAATCTACTCCTGAAGTCATTGTTGCACTATATGCTAAGTTGGATGTAAACTAAAAAAATAAAAGAAAATAATAAAAAGGGAAAAAAAGATTCAGAAATATTATAACAGGTGCATGGGGATGGTGAACTTAAAATTTTTTTTTAATGTTTAATTCGAGAGAGAGAGCGCAAGGGAGCACGTGCATGCTCGAGTGGGGAAGGGGCAGAGAGAGGGAGACACAGAATCTGAAGCAGGTTACAGGCTCCGAGCTGTCAGCACAGAGCCTGATGCAGGGTTCAAACCTACCAACCGTGAGATCATGACCTGAGCTAAAGTCGGACACTTAACCGACTGAGTCACCCAGGTGCCCTGGTGATGGTGAACTTTAAACTATGTGCTGGCAATGGAGCCAAAATCTAACAAAGAAAAGACAAGACAGAAGGCGACTGGAAAACAGCCTCACTGGGCAGTATGCTTATAATATGTGCATTTTCCTGCCTACATATTGTCCTTCAGTAAAAGTTTCAAAAAGGCAACATCTGAAAGGTCAACAGGAAGAAGCTCCTCCTGCTGTATGCGAATGGCAAATATCTCCTTCCTAAATTTAGAAAAGGGGAGACACCAGTGACACCCTTGGGGGACTGACGGTTAAGTCATTTTCAACTCTCAGACACAATGATACGTACATAGGAGCTTAATACACTCTTCATGCAGCTGCACGCTTTGTAGCTCACAGAGAAATTAGTCCCAGAAGGACCCTTCTGGGACATACCCTGCCGCTATGTCTATCAGACAGTACCAACAGCATAATATGTTGTCACAGGATAGAGCACTGGGAAACAGTGGTGAGTATTCTGCCACTTACTAGTTGTGTAACCTTGGCCAAAACACGTAACCATTTTTGGTCTTAATACAGCACGTGCCCCCTCTTCCACTTAGGATTAGTGCAAAGGAAAAAACTACGAAGTCATCAGTTACCTTTACTGTCAACTAATCACATTAAACATACCTCAGTAACAAATAACTCAGAGATGTGCATTAATGCTTTTTTACAACCTAAGGTGAATTTTCTGCATAAAGTTTACACTTCAAGTACCAAACATTTAAAATTTTAAAAATATTTTTGATAGAAGTCTTTTAAAAATTATATCCTCCTCTGAACACAATTTCTTCTTTCTTAATGACTCAGGGGGGTTATCATGTGCACTATTATTAAAGTTGAGCCATTACTTTTATTATACTGAACTAAAATACATTGATAGCTTTAGGGGCTACTCAATTAAGTAAATCTGACTGCCTTAATATGAAAAGGTCACACTGGCAGTCTGTATGTTACTAAAATCTTTCTTTTTATTGGCTTCCAGATAGTAGCTGTGGCTTGAAGCCCTACTTTTACCTTCAAGAGTGTTTCTGCCTGACAGCTGAGGAACCACATCTCAAGTGCTAGACTGGTCCTTTAAGTAAAAATAAACAGGCTCTGAAATGATGTTTTCAGGAATAGTTTAAGTAAAGTACACGGATTTTCTAACAACTTCAACTGCTCAGAGGACTTTATTTCTCAGTTTTTGGTTTTTGGAGGTGTTCCTGATGTTACTGAGATAAGTGCCTACAAATAAGTGGGATATCACTGCCTTTTCAACGCATAAAAATATATTCTCTAAGTGCACTTTAGCAATACATAAAAAGGTAAAGGGGGTTTGTCAAGGTTTATGAAAAAAGATTAAGAAATATCATGGCATCTTACTGCAGAGAAAAACTGGAGATAAATTGTTCTCCCCACCTTGAGAAGCACAATCATCATCAAAGTGTGAAAATCTTCTGGACACTGCTCCATGCCGAGGGCTGTGCTCTGGAAGTAGGCTTTAGTATTTGGGGTGAACAATATGCTTAGAGGGGTGCCTGGGTGGGTCAGGTTAAGTGGTCAACTCTGGATTTTGGCTCAGGTCATGGTATCACTTTTCGTGAATTCAAGCCCAGCGTCAGACTCTGCGCTGACAGTGTGGAGCCTGCTTGGGATTCTCTCTCTCTGCCCCTCCCTACCTCTCTCCCTCTCTCTCAGAATAAGTAAACAAACACAAAGATTAAAAAACAAAACAAAACCAATATGCTTAGAGATTAATGAAATCAAGAGAAACCCAATAAGAGGACAGAGTACTCTGAAGGAAACTGAGAAAGCAATTTTTTCTAAAGTGATGCCCACACAGAATAAAAAACTGAGTAATAATTCATCCACAGGTGAGATCTAACCTCTTTTATGGTTGTGAGACTTGGATCTGCTGCTATCCCATGTTTCAATAGTAGTACTTCAAAATTTTAGTTAACCTCAACTAACGTAAACAAGTCTTCCAAAGGGTCATGAAACCAGCCCTGAAACGATGGCTGTGGCAATATGGCTTGTTTAGTCCCCAAAGACAGAACAAATAACTACAGGTAGGTAGGTAGGTAGGCAGGTAGGTAGGTAGGTAGGCAGGCAGGCAGGTATCTATTTCACAGCACCATGGCAAGGGGAAGGCGCCTTCAAACCTAAGGCATACTGCAGAAACGTTATCAGTACCTACTGAACTCTAACCCGGAACAGCAACAGAGCACCAGGGTGCTGAAGAACAGCATCGGAGAGGCGGTCACAAGCTATATAGCAACTTTAAGAGGCGCTTACAGCGATTACTGGTGGGAAGCTCAGGAGATGAAAAGATTAAAATCGCAAATGGCAGCTTTGCTTAAAAGAAAGAGATATCAACAAAGGGTAATTTGTGTATGTTTCCTGGTAAAAAGACAGGATGAGAGAGTATGTACTGATGAACCACAGGTCATCAGAGCAAGCAATAGGGTGCTCTTTATCAGTTACATCCTGGGCCATTTCAAAACCATTTCCACTTGGAGTGACTGTAA